CATCCTCGGGGTCGGCTCCTGCCCCAGAAACCCGCTTCCCCCGGATCTGGGGCTCCCCGCTCAGACCCATCCTGGTTTCCACTGTCCTCGCTGCTGCCCATGGCAGCCCCTCAGCCATCTCTCTCAGCTCCTTTGTCTCTGCTTCGGCCTCGGCTCCATCTCTTCCCTGACTGTTCCTAGTCTGCCTGACTTCTCTGTCCCTGTCCCCTGCCCCCCCTCCTTGGGACCCCATTCCCTTGCTGGGCTCTGCCCTCTTTCTTGGGGCGCCTCCTCACTGTCCTTGCCCTGTCGCGTCTGTATCTCCCTCTATAGATCGCCTGTGCCACCCCAGCCTGCTGTCCAGACCCACGGGTTGGCGGTGGGGGGACACCCTTTGCCTTGGGGGAGACGAGTGTGTGTTAATTTAGGGGGAGGGCCAGGGACTTGGCTCAGTGGTGCCGCCGCCTGCCTCACAAATGCAAGGTCCTGAGTTCGATCCCCGGTACCAACAAAAAAAATTTAGGGGGAAGGGGGGCCTAAGGGCAGGGCTTCTTGGCCCCAGATTAGACACTGACTTTGACACAAGTCGAAGCACCTTAACTCCACAGCTCCTTTATATGGAAACATTAAGCTGCTCTCTCAGGTCAGGTGGAGGGGGGACTTCAGGCTTGAGATCCTTTTCCCTCCCCTCCTGCCTTGGTGGGAGACAAGGTGGGGGCATCCTGTGCCCCAGCCCCTGTGCCAGCCTGGGAGCTGGGCAGTGCTGGGTGCGGACAGGTCCCCCCCAGAGGTGAAGACTCTCGCTCTGGGGTACACAGATCCATCTCACTGGGAGGTGGCATCTGGGATCAAGGAGGCAGAGTCCTGGGTGGGAACAGCGCCAGACCCACTCCAGCTTCCAGCCCCAGCACCACGTGGGCCCAGCCAGCCTGGCCCTGGCCCAGTATGGGGTCGTCTTGAGCGCTCAGGTGAGCCAGGGGTCTGGTGGCCCAGTGGGCGTGGCCCGGCCCAGGACAGGTGCTTGGGACACTGTCGGGGGCTACTTGCCACCAGGTCTTGGGGCCCTCCCCGACTGAGACTCGGTTGCTGTCCTGAGAGGAGGAAAGGGTTTCCCTGGAGCAGCTGAGGACCTGGGGTGGCAGCGGGGCTGTGCCTAGCCAGCTCCTGCCCACCCCTCCCCATGGGGAAGGGGCTGCGAGCACAGAGGTTTCGCCCAGAGCTCTCTGGGTGACCATCCGGCTCCCCTCCAGAGAGTGACCTCTAACATTCAAGGGTGTGGTGCTGAAAGGGGTAGAGTCCGGGCGAGGGTACTCAGGTGCTGGACAGAGCCCAGCTCGGTCACTCTGCCCCGGCCTCAGCTTCGCCTCTGTCAGGTGGGCCTGGCAAGTGTCCACGCAGCAGGGCTGTCCGGGTGGTGCTGGTCCAGCAGCTACACAGTACAGCAGAGAAGAGCTCGGGAAAAACCAGTGGAAATGATTGCAAATTATTTAACTCCTGGCAGCCCTCAGCCCAGCCCCGCCCAGTCCTGGAAGTCACTCATCTGGGGGTAGGGGCTGCGGGGCCTCACCCAGCCCATCGCCTTCCCGGACCTCAGGAAGGGTGGGACCTGCCGTCCCTCGTCCAGCCGGAGAAGCTGGTGGGGGGGGCACTGACAAATGCCCAGGTCTTCTGGGTCCCCTTCTTTTTCAGTTGGGGTTATCACCATTCCACAGATGAGCAAATCAGGGCTCTGGGAAAGGGAGCCCGGAGTGCCTGGGCACACGGTCGGGAACCAGCCCGAGCCTTTAGGGTGGGAGGATGCTTTCTGACTTTAGCAGTAACCCTACTTTACAGGTGGTGAAACTGAGGCTCAGCAAGAGGTGCCCCATTAACTGGCAAGTGCAAGGTCCTGAGTTCGATTCCCGGTATCAAACAAAAAAACGGTGCCCAATTCAGAGGGTCAAGCCGACCCTATTTATTTGCTAACAACTTAATGGAATATAATTCACATGCCATCCCATCCACCCATCAAAGTGGACAGTGGTTTTTAGTCTATTTACAGTTGTGTAGATGCAACTCTGGTTAATTTTCCTCACCCCCAAAAGAAACCCTCTCCCTTTGGCTATCATTTCCCGACGTCCTCATTGCCCCGGGCCGAGGCAACTGTGGATCTGCCTTTATTTCCATCCCTAGTGCTGGGGATCAAACCTAGAGCCGTATGGGAGGCAACACTACCACCAAGCGGCAGCCCACCCTGCCTACTTCCTTAGTTTGTGGATTTGCCTGTTCTGTACATTTCAGACACACTTGTCCCTCAGGGTCTACAGGGCATTGACTCCAGAGCCCCTCAGATACTGACTTGCATGGATGCTCATGGCCTTTATATAAAATTTACCTCTAGTCTATAGATGGCCTCCCCTATACTTAATCACCCCTGGAATGCCAGATGTGCTACAAGCCTGTAATCCCAGCATTCTGGGAGGCTGAGGCAGGAGGACTGCACATTCAAGCCCAGTTTGGGCAATTTACAAGAATCTGAACAAAAATTAAAAAGGACTGGTGATACAGCTCAGTGGGAGGCCCTGGATTCAATCCCCACTACACTGCCAGGCATGGTTGTGCAGCTCGTAATCTCAACACTTAGGAAGCTGAGACAGGAGGCCAAGTGTTCAAGGCCACCCTGAGCTACAGAGTGAGCTCAAGGCCAGCCTGAGCTGTTTAGCAGCCAGACCTTATTTTAAAAAAATAAGTTCCCAGTACCACAAGAAAAAAACTTCAGGTTACTTTTTTTTTTGGTACCAGGGATTGAACTTAGAACCTTGCACTTGCAAGGCAGGTGTGGTGCCACGGAACTAAATCCCCGGCCCACCAGGTTACTTCTAATACTTAACACAGTGTACATACTATGTAAATAGTTGTAAATGGTATTATTTAAGGAATTGTGTCACGAAAGCATGCCTGTCCATGTTCAAGGCAGAATCTGAGTTTGATTGAATTTACAGTTGCAGAAGCTGTGGCTATAGAGGGCTGACCATAAATTGAATAATAAGATGTACATATATACATAGCCTTTTTTCATTTTTTCTTGAGACAGGGTTTCGATACGTCCTCAGATTGACTTTGAATTCACTAGGTAGCCCAGCCTGGTCTTGAATTCATTGCAGTCCTCCTGCCTCAGCCTCCCAAGTGCTGCAATTACAGGCATGCACCACCACACCTGGCATACATGGTCTTTTGTGACCCTGTTCTCACTTAGGATAATGTTGTCAAGGTTTCCAACAGTTTGCATCAATTAGTACTTCAACTGTTTTTACTGCCAAATAGTATTCTTTGGAGGAACACAACACATTCTATGTATCTATTCATCATCAGTTGATAGATCCTTAGTTCTTTTTTATTTTTATTTTTTCCTCTTCAGTACTGGGGAATTGAACCCAGTGTGTTTGCCTTGAGTTAAATCCTCAGACCTTTTAATTTCTTTTCTTTTTTTTTTGAGACAAGATCTCAGGAAGTTGCTAAACTGCAGGGGCTGGGCTCCCAGCTCATCATCCCCCTGCCTCCACCGCCCAGAGAGCTGGGATTGCGGGCAGGCAGCACCACACCTGGCTTGCTTTAGCTTTGTACTGAGATGCTGCTATGAACATTTGTGTACAAGCTTCTGGGTGGACCTTTGTTTTCATTTTTCTTGGATAGCTAGATAGCTGGGAGAGGTAGATATTGACAAGGGGAGTGGCTGGGCCAGTGGTAAGTTTAGTGTAGCCGCTAAACGCCCTGCCAGACGACTCCACAGCAGCTGCTCCCTGTCCCATTCCCATAGCAGTGCAACTGGCTGATTTCTCCACTCTCTCGCCAACACTTGTCCATGGTCTTTTAGCCATCCAAGGTGGGGGTGTGGATCTCCGGGTGGGGGCAGAGGTTCTTTTTTTTTTTTTTCCTCCCCTTGGTACCTGGGATCAAACTCCAGCCCTTGCACTTATGAGGCAGTCTGTGGAACCACTGAGCCAAACCCGCAGCCCCAGAGCTTCTATTTATTTATGAATTGACGAAGAGGGTTGAACCCAAGGCCTCCAAAACTGCTAAGCATACACTTCACCACTGAACCCCTCACACAGCAGTTCTGGTTTGCCTTTCCCTCTGGCCAATCCTGTTGTCACTACTTCTTTTTTGCTTTTCGCATGCAAATTGACCATTTGTATATCTTCCTCAGGAGACATCTACACAGACCCTTTGCCTACCCTTCATTTTATTTTTGTTTTCTTTGGCCACAGGGTCTCACTATCTAGTTCAGGCTGGCCTTGAATTCATAATGCAGCCCAGGCTGGCCTTGAACTTGTGACAAACCTCCTACCTCAGCTTCCTGAGTGCTGGGCTTACAGGTGTGGGCCACCATGCCTGGCCCATCACCAACTTTTCCCTTGGGTAATTTGTCTTTAGTATGGAGTCTCCAAGCTCTTGATATATTTAGAGCAGATACATGATTTGCCATTATTTTGTCCCCTTTAGTGCTTGTTCACATTTTTGATAGTGCCTTTTTTTTTTTTTTTTTTTTTTTTTTTTTTTTGGTACTGGGGATCAAACTCAGGCAGGACCTTGTGCTTGCGAGGCTGATGGTGGAACCACTGAGCTAAATCCCTGGCCCCCAAGTTTTCAGTTTTGACAAAATTCAATTTATGTATTTTTTCCTTTGTTGCTTACACTTTCTGAGCCAGTTTTTGAACCACAGCTGACCTCTGTCCCAGCTCATATCTGTGGAGAAGCAGTTACAACTTAGCTATTATCAGCATGGTCTGTTAGCATTGAGATCCTAGCTTTCTTGGCGGTGATTTTGGGCAAGTAACTTAAACTTCCTGGGCCTCCATCTCCTCATCTGTAAAGTGGGGCAATACCATGTACCTCAAAAGCCTTGTGCTAAGGCTCAATTAGGCAAATTTATGTAACATGCTTTGGGAGTGTCTAATCCATACCACATTTATTTACCTATATTTATTTATGGCAGTTCTGGGCATTGAATCGAGGGCCTCTGCCCTGAGCTACATTCCCCAGCCCTTTTTCACTTTTGGTTTTGAGCCAGAGTCTTGCTAAGTCACTAAGTTGTCCAGGCTGGGCTCCAGTTTGCGATTCTGCTGCCTCTGCTTCCAAGAGCATACCTGGGCGTGTACCACCACACCTGGTTTGTCATATAAACACAGCCCTGAAAACAATGTCTGCTGTAATGATTGTGTTGGTTGCTCCAACCCCATTATGGCTTCAGCTTCCTTTGGCTTCTGCTCCGCAAGGGTCCCTGAGGCATTATCCTCGCCACGCTTGGATGGTATGGCTCCTTCTACCCGTGTGCCCGGCAGAGAGCTCAGCATGCTTGGCTCAAGAAAGCACGGATCGCTGCAGCCCCTGACTCCTGTCCCCTTCTCATCCCGCAGGATCGGGGCGCCCGCCCCGCA